ACAGGGACTTCATGAGTCTTATGTGAGTCTCAGGAGGACAGTGGCTCATTGCAGGAAGCTGGGGTGAGTTCTCTGGGGAACCAGAACAAAGGACTACATGCCAGTGGCTTACACATCAGAAATGACTTTATTGTCTGGGGGTTCTGGGGGCCAGAAGTCCCACACCACATCACAGCTTCACAGCTTTGAGGGGGCTTCACCCTCTCCGAAGGCTCTATGGAACTGTTGGAGAGGAAAGGCTTTTCTTCTACCCTCTTATGTTCTGCCGGTGAGGCCTGTGAATTAAAGTAAAAATGAGAGATTAAAAGGAAACAGAACACCTTGTGTATGCATACGGACATGCAGAGGCCTCCAGAGATGAGAAGTGAGGCTCAAAGATGTAGTTACACTCAGGGGTTTACACCTCCTTTTAACTAAGAAGAGGGTTTGGGTTTCACGAACCGATGAATCGTGGGGACGTGACTAGAGAAACAGTGAGGGAACTAATGGCCGATACAGGTTATTTTAGTCAGGTCTGTCTGTGCAGTGTCTTCTCAGTGCTGGTGGTCCCTCTTCAGTGATAAGAGTCACTGCCCTTCTCCTGGCACAGGACAGAGGAGAGGAAACCTTCACAAAGGGAAATTTGGGGTGGCAGTTTTTCAGTCCTCTTCAAAGGATCAGTTCTAGGCGTCTCTCCCAGCTTCTGGAAGTTGTTTGGCTTGTGAAATCTTTACAGCAACCTTCACAAGACATTCTCCTAGGTGCATGGGGGTCCGTGTCCAAATTCCCCTTTCTTATAGGGAAGCCAGTCCTGCTGGATTAGGGCCCAGCCTAATGGGCTCTATGCAGACCCCGTGACCTAGTGAGGTCACAGTCTGAGGTCTCCGACTCTAGCATCCTTTCAGCCTAGAATAAAGCCGGTTTCTGGAACATGGAGGTAGGGGGATTCCACTGATCACAGTGGTTTCCCAGGAGCGCAGGCTGTGGAGACTTTCTGCCCTATGGGGGTTCTTATTGCTTTTCTCCAAGCCTCTCCATTCCCTCACCCTGTCGCAGTCCCTGGGCTCTGTGTTTGGATCACAGGTTGTGTCGGAGAGATCCCAGGGGGACACCCCGAGCCCTGCAGACTGGGGTCGGATCCGGAGCTGACAATCTCTGCCCAGGAGCAGGAGTCCACAGTGGGGGAAGGGGTGTGGGGTCCTGTTCTGCTCCCGCAGCGGTGTGAGCATGGATGAGTGTGTGAGCGTGATGGAGAGACGGAGAGAGACACAGAGAGGGAGAGACGCGTGGGCGGTAGTCCTCGTAGTGCAGAGACGGAAATGAGACGCGGATGAGATGTGGAGGAGACACCCATGGGACACGGATGGGACAGGTGAGGCCCGGATGAGGCTGGCTCTGCACTGAGTAGGGAGGAGAACCCCCAGGGCATGTGACAAAACCTGAACAGGCATCGAGGACAGTGACAACGTTGTTCTGGAGACTCTGGGAAATATGCACAGACTGTCCCCCAAACTGGCATGAAGTTTGTTTGTTTTCAAGCTGGTTTATCGATCTGAGAGAGGGAGCAAGTGAGAAAGTGCAGAGGCGGGGGAGCCAGAGAGGGAGACGCAGACTCCCCTACGGACGTGGGACTCGATCCCAGGACCCCGGGATCATGACCAGAGCCAGAGGCCGACGCTTCACCGACGGAGCCCCCCACACAACCCCCTTTTATTCATTTTTAAAAATCAATTAATTAATTTATTTGACAGAGAGAGGGAAAAAAAACTGTGATGACATGTAAAATAATTGGATCTCTTGGACAATACGCCTGAGGCCACTTTGAGGCCCGGCAAAGTGATGTCACTGTTCTCTGTGCAGACCCGGGGAGCCCATGTCGGTGGACGCGGGGTGGTGACAACCTCAAGGACTGCCCATACCGTAGACACATGACTAGGTGGAAGGGTTGGGGTAGGGGCAGTAATAGTGTAATTGTGGGGAGGTGACTCGGAGACATGAGGGGATGGGGACAGACCCGAAAGTGCGGGGGAGAGACAGGGGACAGATCCTGGAGAGCGGTGGGGGAGGGGACAAGGGACAGACCCTGGAGAGTGGTGGGGGAGGGGACAAGGGCTAGACCGGGGAGAGGGGGGGGGGGGGGGACAAATCCTAGAGAGGGAATAAGGGACAGACCCTGGAGACAGGGGTTGGGGTGGGGGACGTGACTAGTACAACACAGGGACACGACCCTAGAGAAGGGGGAGGGGGGCGGGGAACGGTCACCGGAGCAAGGGGGGGACAAGACACAGAGAGGACAGACCCCCGGAGAACGGGGCAGAGGGCACAGATGAGGGTGCCTACATGGAACTGCACAGAGGACAGACCCCTGGAGAGGAGGGGGGAGAGGACAGACTTCAGAGAGGGGAGGGGATGTCAGGGGACTACACAAGGGACAGACCCCTGGAGGGCAGTGAGGGAGAAGACAGAAGAGACACCCCAGGGAAGGGGATGACACAGGATGACTGGGGGGGGGGACAGACCCCCCCAGAGCAGTGGGGGGAGGACAGGGCATCAGAGTCAGCATGGGGAGGTCATGAGCAGAAACCACACAAGGAAGGAGATTCCTGGAATCCCCGCGACCCTGGGAATGCGGCCCCTGGGCTGTGGGGCTGAAATCCCAGGACACAGCTTAGTAAGCTGCTACCTGAAGAATTCGGACAGAAAGTTGACTTCCTGAAACACCCGTAGAATTAGCTAACAGCGTTCACAAGTCTTGTCACTTGTATCTTTATCCTGTGTTCTGGGTAGACGACGTGTGTGGGTCAGGAAAAACCCCCGAAGAGGAAAAATCCCGGGGACCTGGTGCCACAGACGAGTCTTATTTCCACAGGGATCGTTTTAACCCCGAGACCTGTTTACCTGCTCCCTTACCCGCACGCGGATCCATATCCCAGAGCAGCCGGGGTGAGGGCATTGGGGACAGAGGGTCACGGGGTGAAGGGGATGTCACAGGGTGGGGTCATGGGGCTAGGGGAGACGTCACAGGATGGGGGTCGCAGGACTGAGGGTGGTGTCACAGGGCGAGGTCACTGGGTGGGGGTCACAGGGCTGGGGGCTATGGGTCACGAGACGGGGGTGATATCACGGGACAGGGTCACTGGGTGGGGGTCACAGGGCTGGGGGCTGAGGGTCACAGTGCTAAGGGTGATGTTACAGGGCAGGGGTCACGGGGCCAAGGGTGATGTCACAGGATATGGATCATGGGACTAGGGTGATGTCACAGGATGGGGGTGATGTCGTGGGGTGGGGTCATGCTGGGGACTCAGCTGCCTTCAAACTTTGCCTCCAACCTGACAGAGCCCAGGTGCTGAGGGAGGGGTTGTCCGTGGGGGAGGGGTGACCCCACCTGACAGAGCACAGGTGCTGAGAGAGGGGGTGTCTGTGGGGGAGGGGTGACCCCACCTGACAGAGCACAGGTGCTGAGGGAGGGAGTTTCTGTGGGGGAGGGGTGACCCCACCTGACAGAGCACAGGTGCTGAGAGGG